GCTTGGCAAGACTGTCAGCTTGTCTTAGGCATTGCATGTAAGAACCCTAAACCTTAGGTGGACCCCCCAACCTGCAATAGTGACTATAGGGGGTAATAGAGATTATATTAGGGTCCTCTTATATTCCTCTTATACGACTATTACAGGGTGGGGGGTCCTCCTAACCTAAACCCTACACCCCAAGCACTGTAACGGCCTGAACTTCATGTCCCGAAGCCCAAGATATGCTCCAAACTTGGTCAGGCATTTTATGGAGCATGAACTCCATGGTAGGATCTATTTCAGCACTCGGCCCCAGAAGGGGCTGAAGAGTCTTGGGCTGTAAAGGGTTTGATTACACGGGGGTGGGGGAAAGAAAATGGATACACCCTAAACCCTGAACAATAAAAACCGAAACATAAGGGGTTATAGAGGTTTATTATTATGGGGATCCACTCCTCCACTCCCTCTTGAAGGGGTTGAAGGTTTGGCAGTTTGCTGCTTAGGGCTCAGGGTCTATGGCAAAAAGCGCTCGGGGTTTGGATTCAGATTGGAGCGGTTTCGAAGGTTGGGTTTCAATGCCCGTGGCTTAGTGTTCAGTAGGGTGGAAGAATTTAAAGGGCCTTGGACGGAGAGTTTGTTGGTAAAGGGATTTATGACTTTTGGCCTGCTTCAGGATGGTTGAATCACCTGGATTGCGGCTGGGATTAATGCTCCAGGAACTGAACCCCAGATGTACTAAACCCTAAACCCTAAAACTCGGAACCCTAAAACCCTAAACCCTGAAACCCTAAACCCTTAGCCCTAAGCCGTGGACCCACAACCCTAAGACCCCTGTAGTGCTTCAGCGCTGCATGAGCTTCGCAATAACACCCCGTCCGGAGCCCTGGTCATCCTAACCTGGGCTTCAGGTATCTGGGGTTTATATGAGCCATAGACTGCACTCCTTAAAGGGGCTTATATAGGGGATTATATAGGGGACTACTATGGGGGTTATTAAGGGGGATACTAGGAGTTTAGGCAATGGCTTATATAGGGCTTATAGCCACCACCCCAAACCCATCATATCATTAAGTTATGTAGCCCAAAGGGTCCTTGGACCCTTAGGGATAGCAGCTACATTGGGTCCTACACTTTAAACCTTAAACCCTAAATCCTAAACCCTAAATCCTAAACCCTAAACCCTAAACCGCGTTAAGCCTTAGATAGTATCTACATTGGGCTGGTTGGTTCCCCCGGCATTCCGAGAACCCAAGCTCGGGAAGTTGACGTTTTCAGTTTTTTTGCTGTAATGTACGGTCCAGGGTTTAGGGTTTAGGGATCTAGGGTTTAGGGTTCTAGGGTTTAGGGCTTAGGGATCTGTATTCAAGGCTTCCGTGTTATAACTGCTGTCCACAGGAGACCATTCCCTGAGGAATGTGCTGAAACTGTATGCGGCTGTGGGGTGTGATGTCTTATATCCCTAAGGGTACATGTGCCCAATAACTTGAATCCACTTGAACACCGTATATCCTATGGTCCAGGTACCCAAGAATCATATACTATATACTTGCCCACAACCTGTCCTAGAATTACTGGCGCCGCACTCCCCACACCCAATTATTGGGTACATGGACCCTTAGGGTAACTTCTGCGGTAACAACCGGGTCATGAGACTGCCCTACATATCAGAGAGTCAAATCCTTAGCCCCGCTCTCCCAGACAGTGGCCCTAAATAGGGCTTAAGGTCTAGGGTTAAGAGTTTAACCCGAAACCCTAAACCCTCAACCCTAAACAAACCCTAAGCCCTAAAGGGGTTTAGGGTTTAGGGCAGGTTGGCCTGAGGATATAGCTCCTACTCTTAGACATCGTAAAATGGCTTTGATTGAAGATGAGATCTTCGCGCATGCTCTCCAAACAGTAGAACCCTTTCGACAGCCCTACACCCTAAACCCCTACACCCTAAAACCTAAAGCCTGGGGAAGGGGTCCCAGGTCGGTCAAATTCCCCTGAACCTCAGGCTCGAGACTCTGAGACCCTTTCAAGAAGCGGAGCTTGGTAATCTAAAGCCCCAAAGAGAGACGCTACAAGGATCTGATGGTCATAGGATCCCAATCTTCGGGTATGAGGTAACGAACTCCGCTTATGTTTCTTGTCCCCGCGGATCCCTAAACCCATAGGCTGTATCTTGGAACCCTATAGTCCCCCTTAAGTAGATAGAATATGGCTTTGGGTACATTATAGTAAGATCCCTATATACCCCATATTCTATCTACTTAAGGGGACTATAACCCCTAAACCGTAAACCCTAAATAGTAGTTTCCAGTTTCTTTTCCAGTATCCCTATATAGCCCTATATAACCCCAATGTAACCCTAATATTCTATCTATTCAAGGGGGACTATATACCCCAAGCCGCGCGCAGCCGTTTAGTCGCAACAGCGGTTTCACAACCATTCACACCTGCTCGCCGCTGACTTTGCAGCCCTTGCAGGACTCTTCCAGAAGATATGGTTTAGGGTTTAGGGCTTAG